CAGGAGGGTTTTTGTTAGGTGAAGCTCTTACAGTTTTCTTGGTAAAAGACCCTGTCTATGTCCTCCTTGTAATGCCACCAACAACTTACATGTGCATGTCAAGAAGCTTATTTTTCCTGTACTGGGAAAAAAAGGCTCCAGCAGTCTGGATTCACCAGCTGTTAAACATATAGATTAGAATTAGACCTGAGCGAAAATTCTTGTGCAAGCCAACATTTTTCATACAGCTCTAATGAGCCCCTATTGTATTGGGAAGCCTTGACCTCTAAAGCTCTCAAGTTTGCCCTGGTGCTCTGTCTATAGAAGACATGGAGGAAAATGTGAGTTCAGGTTAACTCTCCTGTAAACACAAGTGAACTATAGGAGCAGCCCCAGCTAAATTCAGAAAAGCAACTAGGGGATTCTGTGAGTTGTAAGTACTGTCTCGTGTCGGATGATATCTCAGAGATGGCTTCTGGGAATGCATTTAATCAATCTTTGATCCCCTCTTATATAAATGGGGCCTAGGCTATGTATTCAAATGAGCATTTGATTGCAAGTTCTTTTGAGGGGGCAGTACAGTCATATTATGCTTTCTATGTAGCAATACATGGTAAATGTTATATTAATGCCAAAATGATTGGACACATGATTAATTGCTCATAAATGTCCACTTTGCACAGGGTGGTGGTGGTAGTTTTCAAGGAAGTTTCTATTTTCCACTGACAATAGAGTTTAGGTTAGATGTCACTGAATAGCCAGGAGACTATTTTTCTAAAACAAAGAAAAAATATAGTCTCAAACTACTAAGGAATAGTTAAGAAACCTATCCTGATTTTCCTCTGCTTCTTTACAGATTTTATCTTTATCCACATGAAAATGTAAGTGATTGACAGGATGGTATACATTTTAACTTCAGTCCTTTATATCTATCCTTCAGACAAAATCCCATCACTAGCTGAAAAACTGTTAGCTCCATGAGGTTAGCTTTTATCCAACTCACACGGACTGGCTGGCATAATCACTAAAGGTCTCATGAGTAAATGAATAAATTAACAAAAGCTCAAATTCTTCATAAATATTATGAGAATTCAAACTAACTCTGCTTTTTGCTGATAGATAAACATTATATGTGAATAAGGAGGAAAAGTCCAGGGTCACTTATTCATAGCTGTTGAAAGTAAATAAAGCCAAGTGACAACCAGATCACAGTGGGTTGGGTTGACTTACACAATGTTTTGTTTCTGCAATGAACAATTGGAAGTTGAATATGAACTTGGCAAATAAGTGTGAGATCCTGGTTCTAGGCAAGAGTCACGATTTTTCCTTTCAAATAATCATATCACTGACAAATTATTTCAGAATTCAGTTTTGACTCATGGGTCGTGCTCAAGAGTCTATTAAGTCTGGACTCCACGGGAGTATGGGAACTCGTAACCATGGCAGTAGATATGTAAGAAGACAAAGCTACATTTGATTTTGGTTTATGTAGAAACATAGACTAGTAGGAGATGTGACTAATTACTGGCATTTCAACAGAGGTCACAGAAAAGCTCACCCTGTTTGAACTCATTACACAGGACTACTAGAAAACTGGAAGGATTTTAAGCTGTTTTTTTTAATCCCCTCCAATTAGCAGATTAGCTAGCAAACCCCACCACCTGAAAATGTAAAAATTAGCAAACTTTTATAAGATTTCTAACTAAATGTAAGAGTTATTAGAGAACATAAACAAGTTTCTTAGCAGTACCTTCCTTCCTAAAGCATATCTCAAAGCATCTAAGAAAAAATTGAAAATATCACCTAACTTCTTTTGAAGGTAAGATGCACTGTTCAGTAAAAATACCCAAGCAGAGCATATATGCCAAAGGCTGTGATGAGAAGATTTCATGTTCAAATTGAGAGCTGAAAGGCCAGTGACAGAAAGACCCCAAACTGCAAGTTAATATTAAACCACTGTGAATTCAGGACTAAGAAATTAGCAGTTTGAGGGACCATAAAAATATGGCTGAAGATAGCTTATTAACAGAGAAAATCTTTCCAAGAGCACCAGACCAAGAGTCAGAGAGCTGGGTTATACTCATGGAAAAAAGCCACTCTGACTATTGTTTGACCAAATATCTGTCAAGGTATCACAGTCTAGCCAACTTGACACATAAAATTAACCATCATAATAGGCCCTGAGGTTTGCCAAAAGACTATCAGACGATGTTGCTGAATTCAACCCTAAGCCATGGTCTCACTGTCACCCCACGAGGCTTAGAAACCTGATTTTGTCAACATCTTGAGAGGTACTCTGCCTTTCAAGGTAAGACCCACAATAACAAAGCTCCCAGGACCGACAGTGATATGGGAATGCCAGTTAATGAACTTGAAGTATACCTGTCATGGATGTTAAAATACTTGCATTGGCATGACTGGTGCATTCTCTCTGTGTAGACACATCTACTTACAAGCCAAATTGTAATCAAAAGTTTGCTAAGTGAACAAGAAATCAGAATTCAGATATTTAATGGCACACGGTTAAGACTGGTTGACACATTCATCTCTACAATAGGAATATTATTACCAGTGGGGCTGGATGGATGCCAGATGTTTGTCCTTGGCCACGCACTTCCTTCCCGGGAGAGGAGTGAGGAATACTGAAAGCACTCTTCTTTTCCATCCTACATTGCAGACGTTTCTCCTTTTGATTGACACATTTTTATATGTTAATATATTTAATCGTGTTAAATTAAGTTTTGCAGGTCTGGTATTCATTGTTTCTTTAAGGTAACTCTACCTGTTTTTTTCCTGATGTACTTTTTAATCCTGAGAGGTCAATATTATTCCCTAATTATTATGATTTTGGTGCTGGTATTATTTACTGTTGATACTTAATATTTACTAAGGAACACAGAAATGGACGAATGAATAACATTTGAACTCTTAAAGTCCAAGTGGATTCTAGAACAGAGATAATTAATACTGGCATTGGACAGATCTAAGTTCGGATCTTTGTTACCAACTCCCACATCTGTAAAATGAAGATAATGAACTTAGCACATGGGGTTATTTTGACAGTTAAAATGAGATAATGTAGATGAAAGAACTAACAAATATACACTGACATGGAGGAGGTAGTTAATAACTAATAATTGTCTGAATTTGCTCCTCTATTCTCTCTCCTACCTTGGAATTTGTATGTATTCAAAAATGGAAAATGAGGGAGATGTTTTATCTTTTATCTAGAGTCAAAAGGCAAATACTTGGCAGAGCTAGAGCCATGGTACATGATAACAAGTCATAAGGCTTCATCCCAGTTCTTGTAAATTACAGGCAAATGGTCAACGGACACATAAATGTCCATCTCAAGTTGTGCTGTGACATGAGGCATATCTGAGCAGTGGATGATGAAAGCTGCACAGGCTTCATCTGAAGCAGGGAACTGGTCTAATGAAGAATGTCGAGGTAGCTGGTCAATGACAAAGGATATCAAATATAGTAGGCACTCTCCCGACTGACTATGAAACAGTGAGGATTACTGTTTCCTACATTTCGCTGTGGTCTTTGCCTTCTATGTTTGAGGTTATGAACTATTAATAAGGCTGCTAGAAGATGAAGATATATATTTAAAAGTAATTTCTACAAGTGAGAGAGTATGACATTATCTAAGCATTGCAGGCCGGGAATCTGATGACTGGGTTTATGTTCTGAGTTAGGCATGTACTAGCTGTACAACCTTTGGCACTTTACTTGAACACTCTAAACTTCAGTTTCCTCATATTAATAACTCCCTTCAGGGCTGTACTGAGGAGTAAATGAGAAGGGCCTTTGTAAGGTGCTATTCAAATGTTCATCATTCAAATATACAAGTGTCAGTTATTACCATAATTAAATAACTCTGTAATTGAAAAATTTTATGTACAATATTCTTTACATTTCTGTAATACCTGTCATTTGGGATCGTAAACTCCTCGTAAAACTTAATTAATAGTGTATGTGTTATATATAACACATACATATATAAATTTGTTTAAAAATATACCTGGTCACAGTAAATGTAAGTTTCCTTAATTTGAATGGTGTCATAATATTTCATATTTAAATGTACAAATCTTTTTTATGTAACTTTAATAGCTGTGATTTACTGCACTTGGATTGTTTTATATCAAAAATAATAAAGCACAGGATTTTACTGTAAACAAAGAGACAAAGAGAAGCTGGCATGATAGACCCAAATTCTTGATTTTCCTGGAAACTGGTCTAAATTCTCAGCTCTTAGCCAGAAGGGAAATAGATAGACCATCACCGGAGACACTTATCCTGTCCTTCCCATTTTTTTTTTTTTCCAACTTCAAGTCTAATCCAGTCTTCAGTGGCTGGGTTTTAGCTTCAGTTTTGCTCAGGCATTTGCCATATAGTTGGGCAGAACCTTCAGGGGAGTGATTTTTGAGAAAAATCTGAAAGAAGTAAGGGAGTGAGCCATGCAGAGACTGGGAAGAAGAGCGCTTGAGGCGGAGGGCAGGGCAAGAGCTGAGGTGGAACCGAGCGCAGCACGGGGAGAACAAGCTGGGTCTGTGGCCATACCGCTGTGAAGGCGCAGGTCTCATCTGATCTCTGATCTCGGAAGCTAAGCAGGCTCGGACCTGGTTAGTACTTGAATGGGAGAAAAAGCTGAAGTCTCAAAGGGCAGAGCGGAGCAGTGGTCCTATCGGCAGAGGACCCTCTCGAGGGAAAGTGGGAGAAACGGGCCTGTGTATCTCTGGATCTTTCTGGTAATGTTCTCCCTCTGGAATTCCCTCCTCTCCCCCCTGTTGCTCTCAGCACGTTATTCGTCCTTTGAGCACCAGCTCACATTCTGCCCCACTGTCCACCCTCTGCTCTCACGGCATGGGGCCTGTGCCTCCAGGGGGCCACCCTTCCTACCGCATCTTGTGTCATAGTTCACGTCACTTGTTAGCTAGGCTTTCACAGCTTCTGAAGTACTTACAGGTACATTATCTCCCCTGGTGGCCAAAACTAACCTGCAGGCCTCCTACGGTCCTAGACGTGCAATAGAGGAAGAGAGTCTTGGGGAGTAGCGCAGTAACTGAGGGGCCAGAGGCAGAACCTGGGTCCTTCCCTGAGCTGGGGTCATCTCACTCAGCGCTACCATTCGCTGCATGCTCGCGGGCTCTCTCTCTTTCTCCCCTCCACTTTCTTCCCTACACCCTCCCCCCAGTCACTCTGAGGAGGAGGCTGATTTGGAGTCCGTGTTCTCTCTCTCCTACCCACTCTACTTTCTGGAACAGACACTGCTGAATCCCTGGGTCAGTTCCCTGTGAATCCTCGTCTTCCAATGGACTCAAGGTACTGGGACAGCAGTGGCCCAAAGAGAGAAGACGAATGGTGCCAGGAATTTAAGTCCCTTGGGGGTGGTCTTTCTGCTGTGACTGACTGACAGGTACCCTTGTCTCAGATTGGAACAGTCCTTTCCATCCCAGAGCTCCCAGGAGGATCGGGCTGAATCTGCCCTTCCCTGCTCTGAGACTTCGCCTGAGATCTACACTTGCTTGTTCCTTCCTTGTCTTACTTCCCCACTGTCTCTCTGTTCCCCACCCTCTGCCCTGGGAGCATTTCTTTAAGAAATCATTTGCACAGGAGTCCTCCCTTCAGAAACTGACCTCCTCCAATCCTAGACCTAAAACACCTAGCCCCAAACTTTTCCCCTACCCCCAGAATCTACCACAAATTTGCTCAATACAGTAGATGGGTAAATGTTCATTGAATGCATATTGGCTGTGTACGAGCCTTATTAGCAGATAGTCAATATACTGATGCATAGTATCATTTGTTTGTGTAATAAACATTACTATGGGGCGGTCTTCCATTTCTTTATTATTCTACTGCATTCATACAAACAAGCCTGACTCCTCTTTCATCAGTTACAAGAGGGTGATTCTATTTTTAACCTAAGGGTGTTTGTCACCTTGGAGTTGTTTTTTCCTATAATATAAATTGTGAAAATATGTTAGATTTCTTAGAGTTACCAAGAACTGGTTAGCACATTTAATTAATATATGTTTTTTATAGTTGGGATGCAAAAATGCTGTATAATATTTTAAATTTTAAGTAGCAGTCTCTTTTTTGCTGTTGAAGTAGAAGACTCGGTTTTTTCAAGGGAAAAATAAAGTTTTGTTTTGGCTATTAATTTAAATAATGCAGACTTCTGATTGAAGGATTAATTTAAAATTAATCTAGATGTATGCAATGAGGTCCATATGAAAAAAGAACTCTTTAATATAATCATTTACTTTTTCCAAGAAATTTCATTCCCTATTTAGATAAAAACCCACATACATGCATGTATGCACATGTACATGCCTGCATGTATACAACACACAATGTTATTATAAATGCTATGTGTTTAAATTTCTACAAAACAGGGTCTTCCCAACTCCCTCTTCAGCCTCTTTGACCAGATGAGAGCTTTCTGTTTTTTTAAGATTTCCACATATGCCTCTCCTGTGGCATGTAGTATGTTTAGCCTGGAACTTTCTGTGTTCTCAATGAGGCTTATTCTTAGCCTGTGGACTTCTTGAGACTGTCTGAGATATATTTGTATCCCTTATCACGTTTCTCAAAGCCCTCTGCAAATTGGAATTACTCATAAACCTTTAACACTTAGTAACTTGATTTTTTTCTGATTATAAAAATAGTACATGTTCTTTCAGTAAAAGACAAATTACAGAAACATTTAGTGGACTATAATAAAATTATTCAATATCTCATCACCCAGAGATTATTATTAATATTTTAGTATAATTCCTTTTACCAGTTTTTCTACATATATTTAATATACCTGTATACAATTATTGAGGAGTTTTTTTTAATTTTATCTCATTTAAAAATAGTTTATCTGATTTTGAAATTTAATATATTATTAGAATTTCCCATTGCTTTATTCTGTAAAGTTATAACTTTTATGTTGTTCAGTATTCCATCACATTGCTAAATCATAATTTATCTCATCCTCTTATTATTACTAGACTTTTAGATTTTGAAATATTTTACTCTTATAAATGGTATAAATAATGCTATAATAAACATTTTATAAATATAGAGTCCTAGAAGTCAATGAATATAGCCATAGAAGTATATGTTTTTGGAAAGTTTGTACCAATTTGTTTTCTGTTGAATAGTAAGAGAAATGATTACATAATCCCCTCAACACCCATAGGCAGTTTCATTAAAAAGAAAAAAAAAAAACCTTTTAATTTCATATATAAAAAATATTACTTTATTATTTGGTTTAATTTGTCTTTAGAAAAATGGTAGAGATTAATTCTCTTCATATTTTTCTAATGGCAATTTAGAGTTTTAATGATTTGTATGGTTCAATGTACTGAAGATATTAATATTTGTTATATATAACAAGTATTTTTATTGTGTATATTATGCTTAAACACCACATGTGAATTCATATACATGCATATGTATATATTCAGTTTAAAGTAAAACAATACAATGAATACCCATTGTTCCAAAACAGTCTTAAGAAATAGAAGATTAGCAGTACCTTATGGCACTTTGTATGTTTCTTCCTTATCACTTTCTGTCTTTCCCCACCCCAAAGGTAACTGTTAACTTGAAATTTGTATAAATTGTTGTCGTCTTTTATTGTAGTTTAAAACTACCTACATACTAAATATTATATTGTTTAATTTTATGGGCTTTTGCACTTTATGTACATGATATAATACTATATGCACTATAATGTGACTTACTTATTTTTGCACAGTCTCTTTTTGTTTTAACATCCATTCATGCTAAAGCTTGAAGCTGTAGGTCATTCACTTCCATTGCTTTATATTCTCTCCTTGACAAACATTTGGAATATTTACATCATCATGTTTTTACAAACAACACTGCCAACACATGCCATCCTTGCTTTTCATCTGGTGTATATGCTCAGGGGTTTTCTAGGAATATCACTAAAAGCTAAATTGCTGGGCCTTCCTTATATGCTCATATTTAGCTTTATTCAGTAATACCAAATTGCTTTGTAAACTGACTTTACTCATTTATAATCCCTTCTGGAATGTTTAAGAATTATAATTGCTCCACATCTTTGCTACATAGTGTCGTCAAACTAATTTTCATTGTGATTTCAATGTGTATATGCTGGTCACTCATGTTTCCTTTTCTGCATTCATGCCCTTTGAATGTTTTTCTCTTGTGTACATTTTCTTATTGGTTCATATCTTTATATATTCTGAATACTAATATTTGATGATTACATGTTTTACAAATATCTTCTTCCAGTTTATGGCTTCTCTTTTTTTGCTTTTTTCTCTGTGTCTTTTTTTATCTTTATATGCCTTCTCTGAACATAAACATCTTGATTTTTAATGCAGTTGAGTCCCTCAGTCTTTGCCGTGTGGTTTGTGCTGATTGCGTCTGGCTTAAGGAATCTTTCTTTATTCCAAGATTATAAATATATCTTCCTATATCATCTTCTGAAAATATTACAGTTTTGAACATGGAATTGAAATCTTACACCTGGAATTTATTTTTGTGTATGGTTTGAGGAAGGGATCCATTTAAAATATTTCCATATGGATGAACATTTGCTCCAGCACAATTTACTTACTGCATAACTTCTCTTTTCTCTACTGAGCTACAATTTTACCTCTGGTATATTTTGGATTTCCATATGTATATGTCTACTTCTGGGTGCTGTGTTCTGCTCTTGTTGTCTATTTTTCCATCCTTCTTCCAATACCACATGGTCTGTCTTTTTTTTTTACTGTAAAATCAGTCTTGGTATCTGGTAGGACAAATTGCATTTTTTTTTTTTGGCTCTGCCATTTTTACTCTTCTGTATCAATTTATAAATCATCTTGTCAAGTTTCACACACAGAAAAGCAAAAACCAAAAAAAAAAAAAAAAAGGAAAGAAAAACAGTCTTCATAGTTATTTTAATTAGAACTCTTTAGAAGAAAAAAACTCTACAATAATAACTTCCTATCTGTGGACATTTTGTTCCTTTTCATTTATTTACATTTTATATGAGATTTTTCAATAAGTTTCCTACTTTCTATGTAAAAAGGTCTTACATATCTTTTGGTTAAATTTATTCCTAGGTAACATATTTTGCTACTATACATTTTATTTTTTAAAATGCCTTTTTCTATTTGTTGCTCATGTCTGTTGATCTTAAATCTGTCAAATTTAACAGACTGTGTTATTAATTCTATTATGTAGCCTATGTTGATGCTTTTTTGGTAGGTTATCATACCACCTACAAATAATGCTTTCAATTTTTAAGAATTGCTTTTACATTTGTTTTATATTTGTTTTATATATATATATATAAGTCTAAGGTCAAATCTCCAAAACAAAGAATATCTAGAGAAATTTAATGTTCTTTGCCTATAGATATGGCTTTCAGTTTATCCTTCTATTTTTAAAAATCCCTCTTACATGATCAGATAAATGATAACATGCTGTACTCTCTTTCTTACACCTTGCTTTTTTCTCTCAACAAAAAATCCTGGAGATCACTCTGCAGTAGCTTACTGAGATGCTCCTCATTCTTTTAAACAACTATATAATATTCCATTGTATGTATGTACCATAGCTTATTTAATCTCCTATGGATAGATATTTGAATCATTTCTTTCTTCTATTATAATTGTTTTAATTAATAGTCATCTGTAAAATCTTTAATATTTTGGCAAGTGTATCTTTGAGGACTGTCTCTTAGAGTAAGATTGCTAGATCAGTGAACATGTACATTTATAGTTTTGTTTGATATGGCCAGATTCTCTTTCACAAAATTTATTTTGCATCCTCATCAGTGAAATATCCTCACCCCCAGCCTCCCCAACAGAGTATTTTGTCAAATATTTGGATTTTGCTAATCTGATATGAGAGAAATAGTATCTCAAAGTAGTTGTAATTTGCATTTCTCTTGACATGAATAATGGTTTAATATTTTTGTCTTTGTCTTTGGAATTTTATAGGTTCATGAAAGTATTTTCAGGTGTAGCTTTCTTTCTATTCCTTTTGTTTGGGTTTCACTGGGATTTCTGAATTTGAGAGTTGTCTTTTACTAGAATATTCTTAGCCACTATAACTTTGAATTTTGCCTTCCCATTATTTCCTTTATTTTTTCCTCTT